AGCAAGGACGGGCAGAGTGCCCAGGGACGTGAAGATGGTGAAGAAATGACCCCCCGGGAGGCTCATGCTGTGTGTGGAGGGTGTGGCAACATTTAGCCCATGACAGACTCATGGAAGCTGACCCAACATGACCACATGTCCCTCGGCCACTCACTCAGTAATGGAGAAAGAACGCATGAACCCCTACCATCACTTTAGTTGGTACTTTTGTAAGCAACACCTTACTTTATTCGAACATGGGAGCACATACTACGTACTAGAGACACAGAGATGAGCAAAACAATCCTTGGCCTCTAGGAGCTCAGTCTCAGGAGGGAGAGAGACACAGAAGCACAACTGTGACGCAATGCGGGGAGTAAAATAGGGAGATGGGGTTGTCAGGAAATGATGTGGTCACAAAGGACACCCTCTTAGAGAGGGGCAGAGGTCAAAGAATTCGGAAGGAAGGGAAATCTGAGCTTACACTGGGAAGATGTGGCATTAACCAGGGGAAAGGGGTGAAGAAAGGGCATTCAGGGCAGAAGGGACAGGCCAGAAGCCACTGGTGTGTCCCTGGAACCGCAAACAGTGCAGCCGGTCTGAAACAGGAGCCCGAAGGGTCAGGCAAAACGGGGTTAGAGCCTCATGAGTCTTAGGCCGTGGGGAGACACAGGGCTTTTTTTTGTTGTTTTTAACTAGGCTCCATACCCACTGTGGGGCTTGAACTCACGACCCCGAGATCAAGAGTCGCATGCTCCACCGACTGAGCCAGCCGGGTGCCCCGAGCACTTCTGCAAGGAGGATGGGCCGCTCTGGCCTACTGGGAAGTGGGTCTGAGAAGACAAAGCAGAGGCAGAGAGGTGAGGCGGTGGGGATGCGCATAGCATTACGGAGGAGACAGATGCTGAGAGCTCCAGCCAGGCCAGGGGGCACGCAAAGGGAGAACTGGAATCAAGAAACTGTTAGAAGACAGATCAGCGGGGCTCAGGGAGGGAGGTGGGGCTGGGGGAGGGGGTCAAGCCCCCGCTGGCTTGAGTGATGACTGGGGTGGCCACACTAACTCAGAACAAAAGCAAAGGATGAGTTTGCAAAGAGAAGAAGAGTTCAAATGTAAACACACGTATGTTTGAGGTGCTGAGAAATAGCCAGGCAGAGACACCCAGCCTTCAGTGAAACACAAGTGGAAAGTTCAGTGGAGACTTACACACCAGGAGTACAGAAAACTAAAAGACAACTCTTTCCTGAGCGCTATATTTTAAGACTGTTCCCAGACTTGGTTGGCATCAAATCACCTCAGAAGCTTTTAAAATCCAGATTCCCTAACCCCACCCCAACTTACAGAGCCCTATCTTAAAAATGAGATAGTTTTTTCTAAGAATAGTTTCCACACAGTACAAAGAGATTTTCAAATGAAGAACCAGGGTTTAAGAGTCAGAACTGGATTCCAATTCTAACTCCACAGTCCATGAGCTTTGTGACCTTGGGCAGGTTTCCTAACCTCTATCAAGCCTTCATTTCACCACAGAGAGAGCCAAGGGGACCCACCCACCACACAGGGGCACAGTGAGAAGGACCTGTGAACTGCCCGGTAATTAACAGGTGTTGTTTTTTCTTTTAACAGGAAAATCTCATCACCCATTATTAAAGTTCTGCAGAGAACTCACCAGGGGTTTTTTTTGGCTTTTTAATATAATCTGTCTTTTCCTTCCTCCCCCCTCAGAATTAGAATGGAAGCTTCCTGAGAAGGCAGGTATCAACAGCACCAAAAACCAGGCCCGGCTTTTGGTGGGTGTTCCCTGAATTCAGGAATAAATGACTCAGGTTATGAAAAACGAAAATACTTTAAGAAGGAGAATGATCAGCATCTAACATTTCAAAATCACTACCTATTCTAGTTCTCACTGCCTCCTTTCTAAAAGACTAACTTTTTCTTTTCCCTCAGGTTTCAACCTCCAAACTAACGCCTAATATTTTGCAGCCACAACAAATAATGGGTATGCAAATCACATTGCACAGAGAGGTGCGCACAACGTTGAATGAGACAAACAGGTGTGTGTGTATGTACGTCCATACACATGTGTGTGCACACACATACACCTCTATAACGATGAATTACAACTATGATTAAAAATACAGATGGAGGTAGGGCACCTGGGTGGCTCAGTTGGTTAAGCGTCTGCCTTGGGATCAGGTCATGATCCCGGGGTCCTGGGATCGAGCCCCGCGGCGGGCTCCCTGCTCAGCGTGGAGTCTACTTCTCCCTCTCCTCCCTGCTCGTGCTCGCTCTCTCAAATAAATAAATAAAATCTTAAAAAAAATACAGGTGGAGGAAAAAGAATGGAAGGAAATACACCAAAATGGCAACAGTACATATGTTGCAGAGTCATGAATAATTAGGACGTTTGATGGGTTTGTCGTCCCCCTTCTTCATTCTGCTTCTAGGGCTATTTTTGAAATAGAGTGACATCACTTTTGTAAAAGAAACATTACTTTTCATGATCTTCTAGTTTGTTCAACTCTTACTCCAGAACTATTTGAGTAACTACTGTGTGGCAAGTGGTGTCTGGGGCCAAGGACACACAGAGGGAGGGGCAGTCCCGTGTCTCAGGAGCCTCAGCGGGCCAGGACAGACAGACACAAGGAACAACCACCTGTTACAAAATGTGACACAGGTGGTGCGCAGACCAAGCGCTGTGGAGAGAAGAAATCAGGCAGTAGTGAATTGTGTGTGGCAGGGAAGGATTCAAAGAGGTGACAGGGAAGCCGGGCCAGGAAGCACGCATCCCCTGTCCCGAGCACAAGGTCTGTGGTTCCATTCCAGCCGCTCCCCAGCCGTCCATCTTGTGAGGCAACAACTAACCAGTCCCTCTCTCTGCGCTCCTCTTTGAAGAAGCTCATCCCAGTTTTCCCCACCCCCCACAGCCAGATTTCTAGAACACAAACAGAAATACTCAGAGGGGCAATCAACATTTATTTGAGCATTTGCTTTGTGCCAGTCAATGAGCTAACCGCTTCCTATGCCTAATCTCATTGGATCCTCACGTGGCATGAACTAGTATCTCCATTTTATAGGGAAACTGAAGTGGAGAGATTGAGCAACTTGCCCAAGATCACAGAGCTAGTAAGAGTTAAAAGACGTGTCAAAACCAAGTATAACTCTAAACCTATGCACTTTGCCAACTAGTCTCTACACCAGCTGATGCAGCTGTGCAGTTCTCCTGGGGAAACAGAAGAAACCTCGTTTCCCTTCCAGGTAACTCCTCTCACATCAGTAAAGTTAGTGTCAAGGAAAGATAATAAAGAGCCACAGTGTCTGACAAGCCTGGTTTGACTCTCAAGTCTCCACTGACCAGGACTTCACAAAGGGGCTTAATCTCACAGAACCCCAGTTTCATTGGCAAAAGGAAAGTTAAAAATAATATCTAACACCCATGGGGATGTTCTAAGGCTAACAAAAGGCAGCGTATGAGCAAGAGCCTCATCAGTGCCTGTATGGGCTGTAGGGTGAGACAGCTGGAAACCTAGATCCCCACCACGCGGCCCCTGTTCCCCATCACATTTGGGAAGGCAAGATCTAAACAGAGAAAGGAATACTGAAAAAAAGAAAAGTTACCAGAAAGAGGACACAATAAAGGAGGGGCTTTCGTGGGTCCTCGAGTACCTGTACACTATGTAATGGAATCCCAGCTCCTGAAGTGTGGTCTAAGTACCAACTGTCGGCATCGTCATCCCCTGGGAGCTTGTTAGAATTGGAGGCTCTCAGGCCTGACCCCAGACCTACAGAAGCTGAAACTGCATTTTAACAATACTGAAGTGATAAATGTTATATATTGTGTCTTAGAAGGTGGCCTATCCTATCATTGGGTAGTTTGAACTGCATGAGCCAGAAGCTGTAGAAAGAAGTCAACAAAGAATAATAAAATAAAAACAAAAGCTTAAGGGCACATGGGTGGTGTAGTCAGTTGAGCATCTACCTTCAGCTCAGGTCCTGATCTCAGGGTCCTGGGATCAGCCCTGCATCCAGCTCCCTGCTCAGTGGGGAGTCTGCTTCTCCCTTTCCCCTGCCCCTCCCCACTGCTCGTGCTCTCTCTCTCTAATAAATAAATAAAATCTTTAAGGAAAAAAAAAAAGCTTAAAAATGCTCTAGGCCTAAAAAAAAAAAAAAAATGCTCTAGGCCTAAGTTAATGTGTGCATACCAAATAAAAAAAATGAAAAACCTTGATATCAATTCAGGACTGCATACTGTGAATACAATTTTTTTTAAAGATTTTATTTATTTGACAGACAGAGACAGCGAGAGAAGGAACACAAGCAGGGGGAGTGGGAGAGGGAGAAGCAGGGCCCCATTCCAGGACCCTGGGATCATGACCTGAGCCGAAGGCAGATGCTTAACCGACTGAGCCACCCAGGTGCCCCTGTGAATACAATTTTTAAATATAAGATGTCAGTACAAACTACAGCAGGGCCGACCCTTCTTAGAAGAGGAAAACCAGCCAAGTTTCCTCAACAAGGGAACTATAGGAATGAGACTACCTGCTCTCCCTGCGTCACAGGGTTAAATCCAATAGAGACTGGAAGGCCCCTAAACTTTAAAAATCTATGTGGGTGAATATGAGAATTCTCTTTGAACTGAAAGTTGCCTTCAGATCATATTATTGGCATAATACTGAAGGGGGCAGGAACCTAATTCAGACAACCTAATTGTCTCCTCAACTGCAATTCTAATTGCCCAAATAAACGTGTTTGCTTAAAAAACAAAACAAAATTAAAAAAAAAAATAAACTGAGGAGAGCAAAGCAGTCTCTCTTGAGAAGTATAAATAACAGGATGAGAGCAAGAGCAAGAGAGAAGAAAGCAAGCAGGTTTGCTGGAGTTAAGGGCACCAGCAGCCGACTCATAAGCACGGGGCACAGAAAAATCCAGTAAGGGGGAAACCAATACGTGTCTGTGTCAAGGAAACAGCAATCACACCTCGCAGTGAGTTGACTCACAAAGGAGTGAGCCAGCGTACAGCACTTACCCAGCAGGGCAGCCACTATGCCCACCAGCCCGGTGCCGGCACCCAGCTCCACCGCAGAGCAGCCCCGGAGCTCCACAGCTCCCATCTCCAGATACGTGGAAAGGACGACAGCCTGAATCAAAACACAGCGGGGTGATCCAAGTCAACAAGTGCTTTAGGAACCCAAGGGTTTCGGGCAGACTTCGCACGAGCAGGAAGACATGACATACCCCTCTCCTCCCTGCAAGGTTCCAGTCCCAGTTTGGCAACAGGCAGAAACTCAGCTGCTGCTGGGAGGGGACCCCCCAGAGCGGGCACAGACGCTGCAGCCTCAGGCCCCACAAGCTCCCTCCCGGGGACAGTAAGGGTCAAGGACACTGCCCACACAACACAGGGTCCTGCTCAATCTGGCAAGTTTCACTTCTTACTCTTTGTTATATGAATTATATCTCAATATAAAGCTGTTATTAAAAATAAGTAAATAAAGGGGCGCCTGGGTGGCTCAGTTGGTTAAGTGACTGCCTTCGGCTCAGGTCGTGATCCTGGAGTCCCGGGATGGAGTCCTGCATCGGACTCCCTGCTCAGCAGGGAGTCTGCTTCTCCCTCTGACCCTCCCCCTCTTGTACTCTATCTCATTCTCTCTCTCAAATAAACAAAATCTTAAAAAAAATAAAATTAAATTAAAAAATAAGTAAATAAAGACCAGTCTTATAATCCACTGTGGTTGTCTGCAGAGCCCCAGTGGGGTACTCACCGCGTCCCAAACCACCGCGGCAACTCCCAGCTGTCTCCAGTCCTGCCGGATCTGGATCGTGTGGTTCGCAAAGGAGAAGGTGGCAAGAGGCTTGTGGAATTTCTGCAACCCCACTCCCACTGTCTCCTCATAGGGCACCAGGGCCATTTCGCCTGCACTCAGCTCTCGGCTCCCTCAAAGCTGTTGGGCAAGAGAAGCCTGCCTGACGCTCTGGCCAGAAAAAAATGCACTCTCTTAAGTAGCCCCAGATGCTTTTTTTTTTTTTATTTATTTGACAGAGACAGACACAGCGAGAGAGGGAACACAAGCAGGGGGAGTGGGAGAGGGAGAGGTAGGCTTCCCGCAGAGCAGGGAGCCCGATGCGGGGCTCGATCCCAGGACGCTGGGATCATGACCTGAGCCGAAGGCAGACACCTAACGACTGAGCCACCCAGGCGCCCGCCCGCCTCCCCCCCCCCCCGGTCAAATGCTTTTTAAAGCCATTTCTTACAAGTTCAAAAGAAGACAACAGAGGTGGGGCGGGGGGGCCTTTGTCTAATTCCTTCTTGCACGGCTCTTCCTCTTCTGGGAAGGGAAATTTAGTTCTGAATACATGCCAAACGAGGTCTTTGGGAAAAGAACTCACAACCGTACGACTCCCGCAGGATGCCCTAGGCCCTCTGCTGTGACCGCTGGGTGAACTGGAGCCGCGGGAAGAGTGAGCGTAGCGGGGCTGCTAGCCCAGGGCCGCAGTCAAAGTCGTGCTTTCTACACTGTCCGGGCCCGTTTAGACTGCAGCTGCCACCCGCTGCGGTCGGCAGGATAGTGTTTGCTGTTTCGTTTTGGTCTTCCCTCCACCCCCTCTAAATTCAGCGCGTTTAACACTGACAGCCGTGGACCCGAAACTGCACTTGGACTGAGTGTTAACCGTTTGATTCTCCGGCTTTTTGACATGGTCGCAGTTCCATCTCGCCCAGTCTGGAAGCGAAAGACACTCGTGAACCCCGAGTCGCCCCCGGGGAGAGCGAGAGCCCGGGTCCCGGGGCGGACTCGGGCGTCCGGCGGCTCGGAGGCCTGCCCTGCGTCCCCCAAACCCGACCCCCGGCCCCCTCGAAAGGGCCAACAGGTACGCACTCGCTTCCGGCGGGCCCCAGAGCTCCGGGAACCCGCGGAGGTAGAAGAAGTGGGGGGTCGGGGACGGGTCCCCTAGCCGCGCGGGACGCGCCCCACCCCGGGAGTGCCGCCCGCTTCCCCGAGCCCCGGCCGCCCCCGAAGCGGGGCTGGCGACGCGGCCGGGCCCGAGGTGGGCCTCGCCTCTACTTACTGCTCGGGAGACAGCCCCGCGTGGCGCGCCTCGCTTTCCCCGCCCCGAGCGCGGCCGCCGCAACCACCCGCCTTAAAGGGCCGGGAGCCGGGAGCTGGCCAGGCGCCGGCAGCGCGGGCAGGCGGCGGAGGTGGGCGGTGCGTGCGCCCGGAGACACGCGTTTCCGGTCCCTCCTACCGCGGACAGGTGTTCCCAGTGCGCTGCGGGGCGCGGGGTCGCAGGTGTGCCGGGCGCGCGCCGGAGGAGGACGCTGGGGGAGAGGGGATCGGGCCTCTCTCCGCAGGGTCCCCAAGGTATTCGGGCCGCCAAAGCAGTTTCCGGGACTCCGAGGGCAGCGTGGGCGAGGAGCACGAGGCGAGCGAGGTGCGGAGCCGCGGGCAGGCGCGCGGAGAGGGCGCGGGGGGGTGCTCTGGCGGCGGGTGAGGGGGAGCCCACCAATCTGGCGCTGGCGAGGTTCTTGTGCTGGTTCCACTTCTCTCTCTCTGAGCTGGTTCTCGTCCCCGCGCGCGCGCACTGTGTGTGTCTGTGTGGGTTTTGTTTTTTTTTTTCTAATTTGTGTGCTTGCCTGTTTTTAGTGTTAAAGGTCATTAATTAGCAGGTGTAGAGAAAGTTTGCTCCGAAGTAGACGTGGTCACCCATTCGTCCTCGCCAAAGGGAGGTCCGAAGTGGTGTAATCGCCACTTGGTGGCAATAGAGTAGGAAAAGTGACAAAGCCCTTGTCAACTAGAGCGCGAACTCGGAGTCCGCACGCGGCGCCCGGGACTCGGTTGTGAAAAGCATCCCGGGGCAGCGGCGAGGCCAGGGGCGCGCGATTTAGGCCCACACCCAGGGCCGGGCGGTTGCTACAGACCCAAGGCCCTAGTGTCGCTCCTCCCAGGGCCCGTGGTTGGCGCACCTGCCCTTGGGACCTTGTGCTTGACGTGAAAGCCACTGACCCAAGCTGCGGGCCCTTGGAAAGCGCGGCTGGCGTGAGCACCCCACCGTGCGACCGCGCGGGGAGCGGCGTCGTCCTCTCCGGGAAAGTTCCCTTTTCTTCCCGGACGCTGACCCCCAGTTCCTCCCCCACCTGCCGCCGCTCGGTCCCGGTGATTCTCAGCCCCGGCTGCACGTTTGAATGAACGCGAGAGCTTTTCAACTCCCCCTCCCTGGACTCTGCCACTGGAAAGTCTTCGCTGGTGTGAGGCGTCCCGAGCATTGGTATTTTTCAGCGCTTCCTGGTAATTCCTGCAGTAAGAGCCTCAGGCCGAGCCTAAGCCACCCCTCTTCTCGCCTCTCCCCTCCTGCAGGGGGCGTGCCGGCCTCTTTCCACATTTCTTTAACCTTCCAAAGGCTGGAGCTGCAAAACCGACTTGAAGTGTGCTTCAAAGATCAGCAGTGAAGGTCTTTTACTAACTTTTCTTCTTTGCTCAGTTTATTTATTTTTATTTTTAAAAATTTACGTAATAGGGGACGCCTGGGTGGCTCAGTCGGTTAAGCGTCTGCCTTCGGCTCAGGTCATGATCCCAGGGTCCTGGGATCGAGTCCCGCATCGGGCTCCCTCTGCCTCTGTCTCTCTCTCTGTCTCTCATGAATAAATAAAATCTTTAAAAAAAAAATAAATAAATAATTTACGTAATAGAATTTATTTTTTAGAGCAGTTTTAGGTTCACAGCAAAATTGGGAAGAAGGTACAAAGATTTCGCAAATTTTCACTCCCTGCTCCAACACTCCCCCCATTATCAACACCCCCCACCAGAGTGGTACATTTGTTACAACTGATGAACCTACATTGACACATCATTATTACCCAAAGACCGTAGTTTATCTTAGGGTTCATTCTTGGTAGGGAATGAACAGAGCATTTTATGAGTTTGGACAAATCTGTAATGGCATATATCCACCATAATAGCATCATACAGAGAAGTGTCACCTCCCTAAAATTCCCCTGTGCTCTACCTATTAATCTTCCTCCCTCTGCCATAACCCTGGCAACCACTAATCTTTTTACTCAACTCCTTTGGGTCAGTACGGAAGACTGTGATTACTGAATCTTATGGTAAAAGTATATTGAGTTTTGTAAGAAACCACCAGACTCTTCCAGAGTAGCTGTACCAACCAGCAATGAATGAGAGTTTCTGTTGCTGCACATCCTTTTCAGTACTCAGTGTTGTGTTTTGAATTTTAGCCATTCTGGTAGGCGTGTACTAGTTGTTTTAATTTGAAGTTCCCTAATGACATATGATGTGGAACATCTTTTCATATGCTTATTTGACATCTGTATATCTTCTTTAATGAAGTGTCTGCTAAGTCTTTGGTCCATTTTTTTAAATTTTTATTTAAATTCAATTAACATATAATGTATTATTAGTTTCAGAGGTAGAGTTTAGTGATTCATCAGTTGCATATAACACCCAGTGCTCATTATGTCACATGCCTTCCTTAATGTCCATCACCCAGTTACCCCATTCCCCCCACCCAACCCACCCTAGCAACCCTCAGTTTGTTTCCTATTGTTAAGTCTGTAATGGTTTCTCTCCCTCTCTGATTTCGTCTTGTTTTATTTGTTCCTCTCTTCCGCTATGATCCTCTGTTTTGTTTCTTAAATTGTACATGAGTGAGGTCATATGATAATTGTCTTTCTCTGATTTACTTATTTCACTTAGCATAATATCCTCTAGTTCCATCCACGTCATTGCAAATGGCAGGATTTCTTTTTTCTTTTTGATGGCTGAATAGTATTCCAGTGTGTGTGTGTGTGTGTGTGTGTGTGTGTGTATACACACACCACATTTCTTAATCCATTCATCTGTCCATAGACATCTAGGCTCTTTCAATAGTTTGGCTATTGTGGACATTGCTGCTATAAATGCTGGGGTGCATGTGCCCCTTGGGATCACTACATTTGTATCTTTGGGGTAAATACCCAGTAGTGCAATTGCTGGGTCATAGGGTAGCTCTATTTTCAACATTTTGAGGAAGCTCCATACTGTTTTCCAGAGTGGCTGCACCAGCTTGCATTCCCACCAACAGTGTAGGAGGGTTCCCCTTTCTCCACATCCTCACCAACATCTTGTTATTTCCTGACTTGTTAATTTTAGCCATTCTGACTGGTGTGAGGTGGTATCTCATTGTGGTTTTGATTTGTATTTCCCTGATGCCAAGTGATGTTGAGCACTCTTTCATGCATCCGTTGGCCATTTGGATGGCTTCTTTGCAGAAATGTCTGTTCGTGTTTTTTGCCCATTTCTTGATTGGATTATTTGTTCTTTGGGTGTTGAGTTTGATAAGTTCTTTATAGATTTTGGATTCTAGCCCTTTATCTGATTAAGACATTTGCAAATATATTCTCCCATTTTGTCAGTGTCTTTTGGTTTTGTTGACTGTTTCCTTTGCTGTGAATAAAAGCTTTTTATCTTGATGAAGTCCCAATAGTTCATTTTTGCTTTTGTTTCCCTTGCATTTGAAGACATGTCTAGTAAGAAGTTGCTGCGGCCGAGGTCACAGAGGTTGCTGCCTGTGTTCTCCATTAGGATTTTGATGGATTCCTATCTCACTGTTAGGTCCTTCATCGATTTTGAGTCTATTTTTATGTATAGTAGGAAAATGGCCCAGTTTCATTCTTCTGTATGTGGCTGTTCAATTTTCCCAATACCATTTGTTGAAGAGACAGTCTTTTTTCCATTGGATATTCTTTCCTGCTTTGTCGAAGATTAGTTGACCATAGAGTTGAGGGTCCATTTCTGGGCTCTCTATTCTGTTCCATTGATCTATGTGTCTGTTTTTCTGTCCTAGTACCATACTGTCTTGATGATTACAGCTCTGTAGTAGAGCTTGAAGTCCAGCATTGTGATGCCACCAGCTTTGGTTTTCTTTTTCAACGTTCCTCTGGCTATTCGGGGTCTTTTCTGGTTCCATACAAATTTTAGGATTGTTTGTTCCAGCTCTGTGAAAAAAGTTGATGGTATTTTGATAGGGATTGCATTGAATGTATAGATTGCTCTAGGTAGCATAGACATTTTCACAATATTTGTTCTTCCAATCCATGAGCATGGAACGTTTTTCCATTTCTTTGTGTCTTCCTCAATTTCTTTCATGAGTGTTCCCTAGTTTTCTGAGTACAGATCCTTTGCCTCTTCGGTTAGGTTTAGTCCTAGGTATCTTATGACTTTTGGTGGCCCTTTTTTTTTTTGTCCTGTTTTGTTTTCCAGCTGTATTGAGATATAATTGACATGTTTAAGTTTAAGATATATAATGTAATGATTTGATTCGTGTATGTATTGCAAAATTGTTATTACAATAAAGTTAGTTAACACATCTATTATCTCACATAATTATAATTTTGTGTGTGTATGCATGTGTGTAGTGAGAATATTTAAGATCTACTCTCTTAACAACTATCAAGTATATGGTACAATATTGTTAACTATAATCACCATGCTGAATATTAGATTCCTAGAACTTATCCATCTTATAACTGTAAATTTGTACCCTTTGAACAACATCTCCTCATTCCCCCCACCCCCAGCTCCTGGCAACCACCATTCTACTCTGTTTCTATGAATTTAGCTTTTTTAAAAAATAGATTCCACATAGGGGTGCCTGAGTGGCTCAGTAGGTTAAGTGTCCAACTCTTGGTTTCAGGTCAGGTCATGATCTCAGGGTGGTGAGATCAAGCCCAGCATTGGGGTCTGTGCTGGATGTGGAGCCTGCTTAAGATTCTCTCTCTCTCCCTCTCCCCCTCCCCTCACCCCCCCGTCTGCTTGTTCACTTGCTCTCTCTCTAAAAAAATAGATAGAGGGCGCCTGGGTGGCTCAGTTGGTTAAGCGACTGCCTTCGGCTTAGGTCATGATCCTGGAGTCCCGGGATCGAGTCCCGCATCGGGCTCCCTGCTCGGCGGGGAGTCTGCTTCTCCCTCTGACCCTCCCCCCTCTCATGTGCTCTCTCTCATTCTCTCTCAAATAAATAAATAAAATCTTTAAAAAAATCAAAAATCAAAAATAAATAAATTAATTAAAAAATAGATTCCACATATAAATAAGATCATACAATATTTGTCTAGCTTCTTTCGCTTAGTATAGGGTCCTCAGGGTCCAACCATGTTGTTGCCAATAGCAAGATTGCCTTCTTTTTT